GGGAGGGGAGGTTTTGTGGTTCAGGGCAGGAGCTGCCCGGGAAAAGAGGATTTGAGAGATGCGAACATTCGGACCGGCCTGGGTTGGATTCCTGCCTTGCTGTCTGGCTGGGAAATAGGGAGCCAGGGTGGGTGGGATCGCCTGGGAAAGGTGGGCAGGGATGCAGGCCTGAGCGGTGAGGTGGGCAGGAGGCTGGGGCTCCATCCCTACGCCTGGGGAAAAAAAAAAAACAAACCCTTTCTCATCTCGTTGCACCCGCTGGAGGTACCAGCAGGTGCTTTGTGTTCCTCAGGGATCGCCCAGGCAGGGTGGACGTGCCAGGGTGTGTCTTGGTAACCACCCCAAAACCACAGCCAGGCACCTCCAGAAATTCTCCACGACAGCTTATTTGGTTTCGTTGGGTTTGGTTGGGGGTTTTTTTAATGATTATTATTAATATTTTTTCCGCCTGGATTTCGTGCTTTTCCTGATTTTGCCCCCCTCAAAAAATGGTTTCCCCAACCTCGTGGCCACGGTTCTGCCCACCGAGGTGTGGGGGGGGTGTGGGGGATGCTGGGCCCCCATCATCCTGCCCTGAGGATGAGCACAGATGGAGGGTTCAGGGGTAGGTTGGTGCTCAGCAGGGATGGTGGTTGTGGGGTGCAGGGCGGGGCTCAGAGGGGTTTTGGGGCTGGACAGAAGAGCCCTTTGTGGAATATATGAGCAAGGGGTCTTCCCACCCATGGGTGGCCTTGGTGCTTTGGGCTGAAAGAACCACAAAAATGGGTGCTTCTGCCTCCCAAGGCTGGAGGAGAAAGCAGTGACCTCCTAGGTCACGAAGGATTATGGGTCTTCCCAAAGGTTGTGGATCTTCCTAAGGGTCGTGGGTCTTCCTCAGGATTGTGCACATTCCCAAGGGCTGTCCCAAGGGCTGTTGATCTTCCCCAAGGGTATAAACCTCCCTGAGCATCATGCCCCCTCCCAGGGATTGTGCACGAGCGGGAGGAACACAGGAGGGGAGGATGGAGGCAGAGAGGGACCGAGGAGAAGGGCCGAGGAGGGGTCCCCACACCACTAACCCCCCTG